CGGCATTTTAAAAATCACAGAATATTCCAGAACATGACTATTACCCTCAAGAATAACAATTTGGAAGTTTTTGTTAGTAGACATATATCATCCCATTGAGTAAATTCAGACTTACCTGACTTCTCCAAAACCTGTTTCCAGAACTTCATAGGGATTGGGAGAGTGGTCTGATACGTGCAAAGCTTCATCTGAAAGTGTTCTCTCTCCCTTCTATCATGAGCAGTCTTCCTCATTCAAATCTTCTGACAAAAGTTAGGATAAAGTATGATTTATTAATATAGCAAAGTCATTACAATTCTGAGCTAAAATGTTATTGGAGCTTTCCCTAGCTACTGCTGTTTAAAGAAGTCTTTAAAAACCAATTTACTTCCACCCAGTCAAGTTTTCTCCACAGATAATTGGTTTTCATCATATGCACAAAAAGCATCAGAGTAGTCGGCACGTATGAGGCATTTAAATATTTTCGAATAAAAGCATGCATGTACTTAACGTTTGGGTGCCCAAACCCACACCTCCATTTGACTCTGTATCACTGACCATTAATGCTCTTCTAACATGAGAGAAAGAACTGTGAATATTGTAAGGGCTGCACAAGCAACCAAGGTAGTCATTAGTAGTAGTAGAAGTTCAATAAAGTTAGTGGGTGTCATATTCTTTTATTTTAAACAAGTATTTTATTGTAAAGCAAAGTATTCTCCCTGCTAATTGTGCTGAATTTTTGCAAACTCACAACCAGAACACTTGTGCTTTTAGTTTCATAGCTTTAATCATTTCACTGGGAAAAAAAACCTCAAATCTTTTTCTAATCATCATTTACACAACGGCCCTTTTAGGACTTATAGAACCTGTCTCAGTTTATTATTATCATCAAAAGTGTGTTTGAGATGCTAGTGCAGAATTGCTAATTGTTCATAAGTACCTTGAAACATTAGATTAGCAATGTTTATAATTGTCTAAATACAGCATGACGATATGAAATCAATTACCATGCACATCAATCTTTGACATTTCAATGCTTTACAACTGTAGTAAAGTTTCCATAAACTTAAAAAAAGAAAGCCACAGTTTCTATTGCCTGAAAACCTAACCAATGAAGGTGTGTTTAATTGTAAACATTGCAGAAATAGGCATAGTAGCATAAACAGTGCTGAAACAGGTCTACTTACTTGAATATTTATCCTCCTCTGATTTAAGACTATCCTTGAATTTGCAGAATTTCAAATTTGAGAATTTTTCAGTGTCGTCTTGACCCCACAGTCCTTCCTCCACAGGAGAACTATTATCATGTAAAAAGTTCTCTATTTCAACAACCATACAACTATCTTTAAAAAGTCACTTAACTTCTGAGAACTGACGAGATATCCTCAAACTTCTTCCGTGACACAGGTGTCTGCTGCTGTCTGCCGTCTGATCACATTATCAGAGTTTGTATAGTCACAATCGCCTTCATTTTTTCCCTCCTGGGGTTCCAGGGTGCTGAAGTGAGAATGGCTCCTCCCTGGTATTTATTTGCTTTTTGATCAAAAGGAGGTTAGCGTTTTGTTTTTGTTTTTGTATTTCAATTCAGATCAGAGACAGACATAGTTTTCTAAGTTGAATTTAGGTCTGAAATTTGTTCCATTTCTGAATGAAAAACAAACCAAAATAAAACACAGAGCGAAACAATTCGGTGTGCCTGATTCCATCAAGTCACTGTGATTTGAAAGAAAAAGACAATCAAATGAGAAAAGAAAGGAAACATTCTAAGCAAATTAGTTTCTTCGCTCAGTCCCACACCAGCCCCTTAAACCCCCGACCTCTGTGCAGACCACATCTCATCCTCCTCCTGTTGAATAGTAACTCTTTCTGAATAGACAGCACTTAATGAAGCTAAGGTTACACTGCTTCCAGTTGGCATTTGCGGTGATAACAAATCAGAAATGATAGCATCATACAGATTTATGAATTTTTTACCCCTGCAGTCACAAACATCAGACGTTTACTTTATAAAGAGAGCTTTTAGATCCTTCCTGCAGTTTCCATAGTGATTTCATTTTTCCCTTTTATCACAGATTGGCTGAAGAGCTGCTACCCTTTGTGCTTTAAAAGGCTCGTGCTACCAACTGTCGATATGAAAGGTAGCTGAGGCAGAGACGCAATCTATACTGCCAAAAATAATTGAAAAAGAGACATGTTGGTGAAAGGTTCCAGAAGAATTTTTTTTTTTCTGTATCAATGTGATAGTACAGGAGAAAATAATTTTGCCTCAATTCTCGTAATTACTTTGAGTTAAATGTAGTTGTCTTTTACGCTGTGTACCATCCTTATATTAAAACACTCATCATACAAAACATAATCCTTTCATAAAAGAGTTTAATATAGCTCACAGTGTTCTAAGTGTCTGGGCTTGTTAAACATAAAAGTTCATTATGAAAACATTTTCACTTCAGTTACTTTAGTTTCGGCTGCAATGTTTATTTCAGTGTTTATTCTTCTCTTATGTCTCAGCTGATTCAATTTTATTTTATTTTATTTTTTTCTGTTAGGAAAAGTACCCTGCAGTTTTAAATTAATCTAGACTGTCCATAGCAAAATAGTTAAAGCCCGTAGAAGAAATCGTGCATTTCTTTTTAGCATTTAATAAAGTGAGGGCTTTAGTAAAGTCTAGCATTTAATTTATTTCTACATTGTTTCATGTACTTCCTCTCCCTATTAAAATTGGGCATTGAATGAGTTTTAAATGTTATACTGATTTTTCTTTCAACTCCTGTATTATTTAATAATGTTAGCATCTGAATAATCCTAGTCATAGGTTGCTATAATCCTTAGAGAAATGTCTGCTCTCTAACTACTTATTAAATATACTGAATTCTTGTCTCGATGCTGTAGATGTTTAACAAGTAAACTTTTAGCTCTGTATATGCTTTTTAAAACTGTGAGGAAAATAACACCACTGCCAATTACCATTAAAGTTCATGTTCTATTTATATTTATTAAACTATTGAAATGGCCATATATATAAAAAAAAATTGTCTTTTTAGAAACAATTTCCTATGGAAGTTCTTAAGATATAACATATTCTTGTATATTTCATATTAAAACCCTTGACTTTCTATAAGGTATAGAGATCTATGGGCTCCACCCTACGGTTATTAAGACATCTACTTTATTCCACTCATACTTTTATTTTAATTTTAAGAACATGTAGCCTAAATAGGATAGCTATTTCCAAATTTTTATTCAGTGTAAATAAAATGATATATCATAATAAGGTTTCTTCTTTCTGTCACGCTTTCGTCAGAGAAAATAAGCTCAAAAGTAGATTTGGAAAGAGAAAAATATAAATTGACAATATTGTGAGAATTCTAAGAGATGATGAGGTAGGTACACGTATAACAGGACATAATTTTAGTTAAGCTCTTTGAGGGTCAAAGAGTAGGGATTCCGTTGACTTACCTTGTCTAATGGCATAGTTAAGTGTAAGAAGACACAAAGTAATAACTAACATGGAAATCTCACATCGACCTACAGAATCATACTTCTAAACTTCACACAGACTAAGATGGGAATCAAAGAAGTACTAGAGACCTTGTCAGCTAAAATTTATGGATTTGATCGTTGAAAAAATTCTTCTTGAACATGTCGCATACCGGACACTTCGGTAGATGTTGTGGGCATGTATATCTCCATTTGTGAACAAGAAGCATTACCCTTGCCTTCACGGAGCTTCTAGTCTGGGGAGGAAATGGAGGAAAAAATAAGTGGCAAGCAAATATATATAATTGTATTAAAGAAGATAATAGTGCCTCTGAGAAAAACATCAGTAGTCTGAGACCTAAAGAATGAAGCTGCCACACGTAGGCTGTGTGGGAGGAGTGTTCCAGATACAGCGAGATTATTCTACATTTGAGGAAATAAAAGAAGACCAGAGTGAATATAACAAGGTTAGCAAGAGTGATGACAGCTCATGAGTTGATTAAAGAGGGAATACACTGTGATTGGAGGTCAATTCAGTTCTAAACATAAGGGATTATCATTACAGAGTTTTAAGCAGAGGAGCGATATGATCAAATTTTATTTTTTAAGATCATTCCAGATGCCATGCTTAAAATCGATTGGAACAAGATGAATGTAGAAACAAGAAAATAAATTAGGAGATGACTATAGAGACCCAGTATTGAGATGCTAATATCCTGGACTGGGGGTGGGGGTAGTGTTGTTAAAATGAGAAGATAAAGATGAATTTGAGTAGTATGAGTAGAATTGTCAGCATGTGGAGATGAATAAGCTGTGGGTGGTTAGTCAGAAGCAAGAGCCAACAATTTCCTGCTTATTGTGAATGGGACTATGGATAAAGAATACAGAGGAAGGGAAACACTTGATGGGATGGGAAGAGCAAAAATTCAGTTCTAGATATGATGATTTTAAACATCGATGGATGTCTCTGAGATATGGGCTGGGTTGGGAACATAAATTTATGCGTTGTCATCAAATAGATATATTTAAAGATATCTCCTTTTTTCTTCAGGGGGGCGAAAAAAAAAACACCTAGGAAAAGTCTGTACGGAGAGAAGAAAATGAGTCCTAAGCTATAGACATGAGAAATATCAACATTTAAAGTTACAAGAATAGGAGGAATTGAGAAATAACCAAAGAGATAGGGAAAAACAAAAAGATCATGGTACCTCAGAAGCTGAGGAAAGGAGTTATTATTTCAGAAAAGATGGAATGGTCAACTGTGCAGAGTGTTGCTAAGAGGGCAAATAAGACAAGAGTAGAAAAGAGTATTTTGCATTAAGTGTTCACTGGTGACATAAAATGCTAGAGGTAGGAGTTACATCAGAATGGGTTGAGAGATGATTGGGATGTAAGAAAGAGAGATCTCACATTTAGACAAATCTTTGAAAAGTTTGGTGATGAAAGAAAGTATATGGTACAGTAGGGGAGGAAACAGAGTAAAGAGAGAATTTTCTTTTTTTTCAATATCAAAGATTCTGGAGCATATTAATAGTGATGGGATTAATATATTCATAAAGAAGGGATTATTGATTGAGGAGGAAAAGAAAATGAAGAAAGAACTGAAGTCTTTGACAAGGCAACAAGGGATGGGATTTAGGGCACCAGTGGAAGGGTTGGCTTTTTCTAGGAGAAAGGACATTTCCATCATTGTAACAGGAGAGAAAGAGAAGATAGATTGTAGAGCCAGGGAGGTGTATAGATTTGGTGTATAGATTTGGTGGTAAGAACTAGGCCATGAGTTCTTGACTGACCAAGAGCTTCTATATTCTAAATAAATTGTGAGTCCTGGTGATCAGCTAAGAGCAAAGGGAAAAAGAGAGGAGGTGGGAGTTTGAAAGGAAAGCATAAAACATGTCAACTTGTGTTAAAAATTATTCATAACACTTGTTAAAAGCAGTAAAGAAGACTTTATTTGAGAGAGACTGTTGTGGTGGTTTTGCAGTAGAGGAGAGAGATCAGCTTGCCTCAGAATATAAAGACTAAGAGAAATCATCAAAGATAAGAAGGATTCTGGCTAACTTGATAGGATTCTTGCTGAAGGCAGGCTGGGATGATAAGATATCAAGTGGGTGGATGAGGAATTTGATCATATATCCATGGTGATCATATACCAAGGGTGGTAAATTTTCACTAAACTGACCTAGCAAGTTCTTGCTAAAACTTGACCAAGTGAGCCAAAAAGAGAGCCCAGGGTCACAGCCTAGTCACAAAAGGCCTCAAAGGAGCCTGTCCTGGGTTTAGTCATGGAGAGTGTCTTTTGTCACTGGTGGGGTAGAAATGAGTTTACTAGATAAATATAGAAAGGTTGTCAGGCAGATTCGAGATTTATGATCTTGAATTTAAAGTGAAACAGAATTCTAAATGCATGTTTAATTTTTTTCCCCAATGAACTTTAACTGCTTGATTTGAGAAGGTACTAGTCTGGGACTTTGCCAAGAAAAACAATATAGAGAATTAGATAAAGCGAATTGGGAGCATTTGCTAGGCCATAGTTATATTAATGAATTATGAAATCCTATCTTGGGAAGGAGGGAGGAGAAGCCTTTCCTCTCTTCTCAGGAATGAGAATGGTTATGGTCCATGAATTGAAGGTCTTGATGAGATTGAAGACTGAATGAATAATTGAGATGGAAGGATGGGAGATGGTGGTCTGAAAATGAGATATTTGAAATTGAGAAATGAGGTAGTATAGTTTCCATCAGGGCCAAGAGTAATGGCCATAAGAGTATATAACTGAGACTGAGTAGAATAATAGGCCACTGGCACAAAGGAAGTTAAGTATCTGAGAGGTATATGGGGTCAAGAAACAAGTTTGCCTTTCTGAAACATAGTGAACATTTCCTGAATAAAGGACTCTTGGTAAAGAGTAATGTGTCCTAGAACAATGTTCTTAGCAAGCACTTTCCAACCAGATCATAAGGGTGATAAAGCGATATTTGGGAGGGAGGAAAAGGCCCAAAAGTGTGGAGAAGAAGCTATGTATGTCTGATAGTGATCAGTAAAAAAGAAGTACTTGAGTTCTCAAGTAACAGGAAATATGTCACAAATAATATAGGCACCCTCTAATACATACACATCAATGAGCAACATTTGGGCAACAAATCGAAATGGAGCATTCAATGAAGGAAGCAAATATGATCCTGAAATATAACTGATGTTTGACATATCAACAATCATGATTTGACTATGGAAATGAGAAGGTATACTTTGCTCAAAATAGAAGTGGTGGACGTAAAAGACAAGGTGTCAAGAAAGAGGAAGCCAGCCGAGAACTGCACAAACCTACAGGTAGAAAGACTCAAATGAAAACGAGAGAGGAAAAAAAAACCAGGAAGAATAACGTTACTGGAATGTCCTGTAGATTTCTCTTTTGGAAAACATAATTTATAAAATAGTTATAGAGGAAAGACACAATGATAATTAGTAACTAATGATCTTGACTTGTTAAGAAAGTCTAATTCAAGCAGAACATTTGAATAACTCCTATTCGATCCTTACAATATTTTTACCTCTCAGATGATGGAGTAAGCAGTGACTGGGGTAGATTCCCTGAACTTCATTCCAGTCCATAAGAAAGCACTGAATTCTTTAAAAACAAAAATGTATCAAGATATGTGTTTTGATGGAAACCAAAAGTGGACCTTAAGTACCAAAGGTGATTTTTTGGGGGGTTAAAGTGATGGTAGCCTGGGAAGAACTTCCCTAGTTCTTGTGGTTTATAGTAGCCACAGAAGGGAAATGTGTACTCTATGTCTGCAGACTTCAGGATGCTTCAAGGAAGTGTAGATGGGAGTCTGTGTGTTCCAAACGGAACGCAAGACAAAAGATGTCTCAAGGATGACGAGAAATTCTTAGAACCTCAATTCTGGCAAGAAATAAAATGATGAAAAAGAAAAACCAAGGAAAATTTGAAGAAAGTAGTATTGCTTAACAGAGTACACTTTAAAAGTGCTTGATTAAATAAAGGCATATACATATATAAGAGATGGAAAGAAAAGCATATGTCCAAGGATGGAAAGAATAGGAGGGCTAAGACCTGTAAAATGCTGTCAGGAAGAAAAAGGCCAGAATGAGTTGAGGTGTGTAAAAGTGCAAAAAATGAAACAGGCTTTTCAATCTTTTAAATCCGTTTTTCTGAGGTAAAATAAGAGAGAGATCAACTCACTATTTGGGGCAAATGGAGTCATTCACTCATACGGTTATCCAAAAAGCTTTCACAGCGTCCCCACTGTGCAGCAGGCATTGTACAAGCACGAAGTTAGAAAGCACAAACCTTGTCCTTGAATCAAAATGATAGCAAAAAATTTTAAAGTAACAGTTACTAATAAGTGAGTGCTTACCATGAGACAGACACTGTTTTAAGCAATTTCCATGCATTAGCATTGGACCTTATTAGCAACTCTGTGGGTAGGTATCAATATTATTTCCTTTTACAGATGAGGGTTCTGATGTCATTATTTAAATTATTCAATATCACACAATTCATATAGAAGGGGCAGGGTTTAAATCCAAGGTGTCAGCCTGTAAAACTCATAAGTCTCTTATCAAAGACTCTTAGAGTCCGATACACGTTAGAATTCAGAATTTCTTTTGAACTTTAAAAATATAAGACAACGTATATACTTTTATTTTATAACATCCCCAGTATAGTCTGTGGCAATGGCTATGATCAATTTAATAATAATTTTGTAGTAAAACATATTAGTTTTAATTCTAAATGGGATAACAAATAAAGATTGTAAACTCTGTACATCAGCTCAGGTTAAGTTTTGTGGCCCAAAGCTTTTAGTATAAATTTATTTAGCAAAAGAAGAGAGGAGAGAGAAGAGAGGAGAGAGGAGAGAGGCAGCGGGGGGGGGAGGAGAGACAGACAGACAGACAGACAGACAAAGAGAGACAGAGAGAGAGAGACAGAGATAGAGACAGAGACAGAGACAGACAGAGAGAGAAGGAAGGAAGGAAGGAAGGAAGGAAGGAAGCAAGGAAAAAGGAAGGAAGGAAGGAAGGAAGGGAGGAAGGAAGGAAGGAAGGAAGGAAGGAAGGAAGGAAAAAGAAGAAAAGTTGGTTTCAGTTCTTGTCTAATTTTGGAATCATAGATAAAGGATTACGGACTTATATTCTACATAAATCACAGAAGGATTAAACACGGGTGAAATGAAACATATTTCACAACAGTTTAGCTGGGGTGCAGGCGAATCAGAATGAGAGACTGGAAACTAGCACTGTGGTGGGATCCCAAAGACCACTTGCCATGTCAAGAATTACCCATTTAGTTGTTATATTTTAAGAAAGTCCAGAGAATACTAGAAATGGGCTTGGGGCTGCCAAAGAGACAGTGAGTGGAAATACTGGGTGGAATGGTGACCTTGAGGCAATAGCTTTTCTAAAACAAACAACAAGAAAGATTTTAAGACAGGACCTTGGAGAGAGACCATTATATTATATATACCATTTCAGCATCGGCTATTATAAATATATGCATAGAATCGTACAGCAAAGAGAAGGAACATCTAATACGTGGGACTGGTTGTAGGTGGCTGGAAGGGGGTCAGATAATGTTTTTTTATTACTCTTAATACTTTAATAATAATAAAATTGATAGCAAACACTGACATGAGCTCTTATACAAGCCAGGTATGTTCTAAGTATTTTATATGTATTAACTCATTTAGTCTTCACATCAGCTCTGGAAGGGGATACTACTATTATCCCCACTTCACAGATGAGAAAACTGAAGCACAGAGCAGTTAAAAAACTTTTTGTGCGCTAAATGGTCACGAAGTGTTGGGGCCATGGTTTGAACTTAGACAGTCTGGCTCCTCAGTCCATGAGAAAATCCATTGGAGTACATACCATATTGTAAGTGCAGCTTTACATACCACTCCCTCACATGGCCCCAAGGCTCTGAGTTTGGAACCAGGTTTCATTCATTTCCATATCCCCTGCACAGTGCCTAGGTCAGAGTAGGTACCTAATATCGAGTTGTTGTTATTGCTGTCATTATATGAAATAATGCTGGAAAGATTCTCAATAGTTAGGAGGATTCTAGACAGAATGTAGTGTAAGCAAAGGTGGAGAAGTCTTTGGCAGCAGCTCCTTTTGTGATTCCTTCTTCACCACTGAGGATAAAAATCTTCAGGTTGAAAGGGGTAGAACTTACAGGATGTGCAGACTCCAAACACTTCGTGCATCAGTCCAGTAGCATAAGTGTGTGAAAATGCTAGGTTAAGAGAGTAGAAAGCTTAATGAGGGCCGGGTGGACTGGAGGTCGATGCCCTGCCCAAAGGCATTCAAATTCAGACTTTTGCATGCTTTGACTTAAAAGGATTTAGAGATAATTTTAAGAACAGCATTTAGGGAATTCAAATCAGAAAAATGATGAACAACTAGGATCACTTTTGGTCATCTCATTGTAAATAGATGAATAGGAGAAAAATCTAGAATATGGAACATGGGTAAGCAGTATACTTGTACCCAAGAAAAAGGAGAGAAGTTAGATTTTGAACCTACAAATCAATGGGTTTAACATCAAACTGTGGAGACAATTAAATAGATAAGTTATGAGAAATTAGCAAATGTAACAAAAAAATGAGAATGTTATCGTGAACAAAAAAATATATATATTTTTTCTCTGATAAGAGCTTTCCAAACTAGCAAGTCATTGTCTTAAGACCTCTTGTGGACAAGATGAAGAACCCTGAGATAGATCTACAACTAAGAAATCTTGGCCTCTGTTCTCTGCCCTGGGCAAGGTCTATAAAGAATATTTTGTTGAAAGCCAAGGAATCTATCCCACGAGGGGATCCTGAGGTTAGGAGCTTATGCAGAGGACACAGTTTGGTAAAATAACCAGTTTGGTAAAATAACTTGAAACTACATTAGTACGGACAGAAATAAGGATGTTCGGCCTAGAAAAGACAAGAGTGGGAAGAGGGGACAAAATGCTGTCTTTAAAAGTTTTAAGGTCTACGGCCATGCCACCCTGAACAAGCCCGACCCCATCTGATCCCGGAAGATAAGCAGGGTCGGGCCTGGTTAGTACTTGGATGGGAGAGCACCTAGGAAGACCAGGTGCTGTAGGCATAAAAAATAAAAAAATATAAGGAATTGTAAGCTGACAAGATCCTTGCAATCTGCAAGGTCAACCAAGGGTTTCCTTGCCTAAAAAAAAAAAAAATAGTTTTAAGATGTGTTATTTGGAAGAAGAATAAGGTGTAAACAAATATAGACTATCTTAAAGGACAATGAGACCCCAGATGCTGGCTGTTGGGAAACTATGTTTCTGGTAAGTGAAGCAGACTCAGAATTTTATTCCTTTAATGAGAGTCTACTCCAGGTCTATGATTTTATTAATAAGGAAACTGAAACCTAAAGGAGGTAGGTGATTTTATCCAATGCCATATAGTGCTAGGAGAAAACCCAAGATTGTGAGTTTCTAGTTCAATGGTTTTTCAACAACGGTATGGAAGGTAATTCAGCTCCTTCTTCATGGTTCTACTAATTAGAGGAAGATGGTGTTAATTATCCCACTAAATTCTATTGCCTTTCCCCAAAGCTGTAGGGTTCTAAGTGGAAAAAGCCAGAATTTGCAGGTTTGGAACAATATTTCAGCCTGAAGTGATATATTCTTCAAGTGTCATGTAGCAATTGCCCCCTTCTGAAGAATTTAATCTGCTTCATGAGGCAGACTGAATTTGACTTGCTGGTTTCTAGTAAAAATCTGTGATTTTCTGGTTGATAGTCAAATCTATTAAACTGACAGAACTTTCAACCTAGTATGCAAATACTCTCCATCAATACATTAACAAAAGTTTGGTGCGCCAGCAAGTAGCAATTTTCAATCACAAAAGCATGCAAGTTTTCTTGTCATTTACAGCAGCAGTCACTATAGGGGTCATTTTATAAATACTCAGTACAAAAACATTTCTCAATACATGTTCTATGTCAGGTAACCTTGACATGAAATATTTCCAGTGGTGTCTTCCTAAGAGATCTCAAATAGGCTGCCTCTGTGAGGTGAAAAGCAAAACTTCACCCAAGCTGACTTGAGCAGCCCCATCAATTTTAGAAAAAGAAGGGAAATTAAGATTCAGCACACACCTCTCATGTCATCTATCGCTCAGAGCAAACTGTGAAGTATTTTATTAATTAAAAACACATTTATCTGCCTATTGACTAACTTAATAATATTTCAGGTAGTCTATGAAACAGTACTATTTTAATTTTGCAGATAAAGATATCAAAGTTCTAAGTCTAAGTAGTTTGCCCAAGGTTTTAACTAAAGAGTGGAGGGGCTAGGAATTGAACATAGATATGTTTATGCCCAGGGTCTGTGTGTTCTTTCTGCTGTGTAGGTACCTTATAGATCAAAAGTGGCACCTTCTATATGATATAAAAAGTCAAATTTCAAGAAAAGAGACTTAAAAGTCAAAATGCATTTATGTTATTATTATGGTATCTACATAAAATCCATATATCTTCAAGATGTGATTTTTTTCATCATTCTATCTTTAAGCCAAGCCAATGAGAAAACTAGTTTTGATATACAAGTAAGGTTCAATGCTGCGTCTAACCCTTGTCTTTCTCCATGACCAGGTGTGGTTGGAAATCGACTTTGGGAAGGTGTAGAAACCGGAGTTTTTACCACTGTTTTAGCACATATGCTCTCTGGGTAGCAGTTTATTCATGTGTAAAACGAGAGACATTGTAGAGATCATTTCTACAGCCTCTTTTATCTCTAACCTTCTGTAATTCTTAATTTCTTCACTTCCTTTCTCAAAATTCAAAGTAGCTCTGTTTTGGGGGTATATCCAGCAGCCACCATAAAGTAGCATAAATATGAGAAATCAAAAATCAAAACCCAAAGCAAGATTCTCCTTAGGTTCCAGAAGACAAAGGCCTAAATTACAATACATTAAAAAATGTATTTCCCCCCTTGCTATCGCAGACTTTCTGATTTAGTATAGGATCAAGGGTAGAAATAAGAAATGTGTGGAAAAATTTGATCTGCTTGTAATCCAATTACAAGCAGAAAACGCCAAATATATCTTCTAAAAACCCATCATTAGAATCTTTGCTCATTTTTATGAGCTTAAGAGTTTAAATAGTTTTGATGCAAATTTTAGACTCCTGGGTACCTTTCATATTCAACCAGCGTAAGAAGTAAATATGCAAAACTTTACAAGATCAAAAACTCTTCCTCAAGGACACTTAATTAGATTCATTTGTTTCCCTTTTCTTTCTTTTCT